AGCCTCTGGAGCCTGGGGAAGGCAAAAAAAGCATGCAAAAAATGTGGGGGAGTGCCTCTCATGTGCGCATACGCACTGGGGGGGGTGTTGCACGTTGCATTATGGGTGTGGCATGCCCACGCATGACCCCTCTGCACTTCCCCCACTTATGGCATGCGAACCAAAAAAGGTTTGCCATCGCTGGCCTATACCATATTGGAGAAATGATTGTCCAATCTCTTTAAAGCCTCCAGTGATGGAATAAGCTGGTTGCATTTGAACAAAACACTTTCTTAGAGTTTATTGTATTACAGATGGAAGTTTAGTTCTGCAACCTATAACATCAATTGAGTTTTTAATCATGTAGGATACTAATTAAACCCAGTTTGGTGTAGTGGTTCAGGCATCAGTCTGCAATTCAGGGAACCATGGAGTTCTAATCCCATTTTAGCCATAAAACCAGCTGGGTGACCTTTGGCCACACTGAACAAGTGCAATTCTTGTTTGTTTGTTTGCTTGCTTATTTCAGTAGAGGTAGATAGGTATTTCAGAAGAACAGAATCAAGAAGAAAAGTATAAAAGATAAATAAGAGGAAAAATTAAAAGCAATCTAAAATAGAGTTTTTTTTAAAAAAAGAAGAACATTTATTTAGTGCTGCAGACTTCAGAAAAATATTGAAATGCTTCATATAAACCAAGAGTTTGGGATTGTGGCAGCATTGAAATATAGTAAATAAATTCAAGCAAATATTAAATAATTAAAAATAATAGGCAGTATAATATGAATCATGTAAGAATAAAAAATAGCAAATGTTTATTTGCATTCTAAATTCTATCCTTATTTAACAAATCAAATAAAAGCTATTATTATAAAGCCTCCTGCTAAGAGAAACCTCATATCTGTATGTAGAACTGTAATCTGTGAATGGTTTCTAAACTGAATTAAATTCCACATCAGACTTGATTCTCAAATGTAAGATTATTTTTGACATTGAAGTATACTTCCATCTTTTAGGTTGCACCCTTCATAGAGGCATTCATATATAATTTTGCAAGGACACTTTCTGTTGCTTTCTTTTTTGCAACTGGTTATATCCAAATATATAAGAGAGAAGTTTTCAAGTTATGCATGCAAGTGTTAGTATAAAAATCTTTTCCACTGATCAGAACCAGTAAAATAAAATAATTGATTGCAACTGTTGCTGCTACAAAAGGCTAATAGTTCCATTCAGAACACATTATGTGTTCCAAAGCTTTTTGGAATTTCATTAATTCATTTATTAATTTTATTGTACAGCATGCACTGTGAATTTATCTAAGAAGTAAATGAGCTAGTTTGAAGGGATAAGTTTTAATTAAGCTGTCGTTACTTTCATGTTATAATTATTAAAATATCTTTTTGCAGGGGGAATGTTATTTTACACTACTGCATTTAATCAAAAACAAAGCAGTACAATTAGAGTACAAAGTATAGAGATACTTAAATTGCTGTACTACTTAGGGTTGTAATGTGTTCTTTTTTTTAAAGTTAGCACTAAGTGTTCTGAGGCTGTGTTAGATTTGGAATGGATTAGACTGTACTAAAATTGCAGAAACGGAATCAGGGCCTTTCCTTTCCCTGAGCTGTAGCCTAAATTCTAGCTTCCTTGCATATATTATAGAGTAGAGCTTTACAGATAATGCTCTTATTGTATAATATATCATTAAAGATAACTGAAATACATACATTGCAGATATGTTTTACAAAAATTAATATCACGCAGTGTCTTATTTGTGGCATTCCAAAATTATTTTGAAAATGAAACAAATAAACCTGAGAGAGCAGCTAGCTAGCTCCTATTTTTTTCCTAAATACTTCAAATTGTTTAGAACATCATATTCTTGTATATGGATGTTTAGCTTTTGACTGTAGGAACTGTATGTATGTAAAACAACAAACCCCAAAAAAACAGTAGTACTACTGATATAACAGCATTTAAAATATGTAAATATATTGGTTAGTTTGTTTTTGTGTCTATAGCTATGCGGTGTTTCTAATTTGTTTCTGTGTCTCTCTTTGAATTAGAGCCCCCAATTGTGTCTGCCAAGGCCAGTAATATCCCTGCACCACTCTCATTTTCCTCTGTCCTTCGACCTCCACGAATAAGGGTCCCTAAGGCTGTGGGCTACAGTCCTGCTGCAGGTCGCTCGCCTCTCTCTCAAGGTCCCCCTGGCTCTTTCCAGTTTTCTTGCTGCCTGTTCTCTCCTTTTGCAGGTTGTTATCTACTGGGTTTTAGGGCAGTGTTGAGAAAGGAAAGTGATCCTCTTGCCTTCAGATTTGAAAAAATTCTTACTTGGACTAAGAACTCTTGATTACAGTAGAATTTGCTTCCAAATAAATGTTCTCATTGTTTTAAGTTACACATTCTGAACACTCTGCAAATAATACTCATTTCATGCTAGTGATTTTTTTTTTTAATGCTGGATATTATGATTGAATGAAAAGGTTTGGGAACCCATTATATTTTTATGAAGCGTATAGTGAATATGCATACAGTTTCAAATTGAAAACAGCTTTTTAGAGTTTAAAGCAGGTTATTTTGAATTTATGAATTCAGAATAGCACCAAAGATCTGGTAAGGTTGGAACAGTGTTGGAATGCTTTTGATAAGTTGGAAATAGCTGTTGAGAATTTCAGCTCCAAGATGGGGATTCTTTTAGCTCAAAACATTTTAAATTTAAAATGTTTGTACATCATTAGTACATGCCTCTAAATGTAGCATATTTGCAGCACTGCAACCTTGAGAATTATGACTGAATTTCCTTGTGTTTTCTGAAAGGAGTTTTACAACCACTCATATCTGTAGCACCAAGTAGGAAATGGCATACAGATTGAGCATTGCTAATTCGAATCATGCTGTTGCCATTGCATCATATAGGTCAAGTACAGAATATTTTTATCTATCTGGCACTGTAAATCCCTCCAGTCATTTGAAAATGTTTAAATACATGTTGTATTACACTTTTTGTTGAAGAATGTATTTCACCTAGTAAATTAGGTTGCAAGATATGATGTTTTTGTGGCTGATTGATTTTTCTGAGATATTTGTACTTTGTCTCTTTTATCAACGTTGAACCTTCATAAAGTTTTTTGCATTAAGATTATGTTGATACTTGGCATTCAGAATTCTGACTTGTAAGCTTTGTGATCCCTGAATGGGATGCTCTTGATCCATTTCCATTTCCATTTATTGAATTTATAGGCCGCCCAATCCCGGAGGACTCCGGGCGACTTACAGAAATAAGAAATATTAAGAAAAAATTAAAACAAATAAGACACAGCAAATTAAAAGAAACACAATCAATTGATTGTCTCAATTGATCAATTGAGACACATTTTGCAACACACATTTTGTGAAATACCATATTTTAAGTATAAATATATGGTGTTGGCTTTTTATTCCCAAAATATTAGTTTATACTTTTCTGAGAAACATTCTCTACGCTATCTCATTCTGTCATTGTTCCACCAACTACTACAGTTAGCAAATTGTGGGAGCTTCTAAGTTTCTTCTGCATGCAGAAGACAATGTAGCAACTTCTACAAATGATAAATATCTGGGACAGAAAATGCTTTTTGAGGAATCAGACCAGTATGGACTATTATTTCCAAAACTCCATGGAGAATACGGATTTAAATATGATTATGATCATTATGCTATGATAATTATATTTGAGGAAAGTTTTGTTTGCATCTGAGGACAGTGCAAAGTTTCTTTCAACTTTTACTTCATTCGTTTTTGGTAAGGTATGTGGCAATTTTGTATGTGTATGGAAGAGAATGGTGATAAAGAGGCCTGAATCCAGTGAATGATTATTGTAATTTCTCTGATTTAGTGGATTATATAAAAGGTATGACATATCTGGAAGAAGTCTGAAAAGAAATTATTTCTTCAAAATGTTGATTCTTGCTTGGAAAGGATCAGTCCTTGTTGTGAGACTTAGATTTGTCGGACTAGATTTTAACAAATTAACAGAAGAGATTCAAATAACATGTCCAAGATTATTAAAATTCTTGGTGAAATTGAACATTTTTCTCTCATACATGACAGAAATGATCTCAAAAGCTCTAACTTACATTAGAGAGAGTGTGGGAAAAAAGGTATTATTTCTGTCCATAACCTGACTTTCAAAGCTGGAAGCCAGAATTGGCTTGTAAAACTCTGCTATTTTCTGTTACATTCTTCCATTTCTTGGTGTTAGTGCCACTAACCATCTATGGTCCTAGTTCCATAGCTACATAAGATATATATCAAGGACAGATACTTACAAAGATGCATTGAACAATATTAATCTGGCTTAAAATTAATTAATGGAATAATTCAAATATATTTGGATGCCAGAAAGCTCTGTTATACTATTTAATATCATTTTTGTTAGAGTGCTTTGAGTACAGATTCATTAAATATTATAAAAGCTAAGGGCTTTGAACATCTCTATGTCACTGACAGAAAGAAACACCATCTTTTTTCTTTTACTCTTAATTCTTACTTTGGAAATCAGGAGTCTAAACCATGAACTATTGCAAGTGTGAACAATCCAAACCATTACTAGAACACCATTTAAGCTTAACAAAATATTAGGTTTGTGACTTGTATGGAAAAACATCAATGAAAGTTGGATCTACAAGGAGAAATTGGCACATTTATCAAAAGCATATTTGTACTCATTAATAATTAAAATGTACGTTAAAGTCTTTGACTAAAGATGTTCTGATTATAAACTTATTTAAATGGATTAAAGTTAGAGTCTTCTTTACATCAACTAGAAGATTTTGGAATTTGGGTAGCAGAATTATTTTACAAAGTTAAAAAAAGAACCTCTGTTGTATAATTGTACTACATGCTGCTCTTAGCAAAATAGTTTGGTTATGGAGCAGTCATGTGATGTTACTCTGCTGAAATACATAATTCATTTTTATTTCAAGAATGAAAAGCAAATTTTATGAGTGGGGGAAAATTCATTAGAGGTCTTCAAAGAGAGAGTGAGATGCTTTAGTGGAGCCTGCCCTGAGTAGGTTTTTGGACTGCAGTAATGATTTCTGTGCTCTCTTCCAATTCCATCATTCTGCAGATTTATAAGAGAAGAATAGAATTTGGAAAAGGCTGAAAGAACTTCTGTTCATTGTCATATTGCTCAACAGTTGTAGGGAATATTGATGATCTAAGAGTATAGAAGAATATATTTGATTATGATATTAGCTATTTCTTATTTTCAGCAGTGAGTCTGAGGAAGACAGATCAGACAATCAGTGATTTGGATAATTCAGTTACTGTTTTCTGGTTTAGCATGTTTTTAGTGTTATATATTGTGATCTTATAGCTTGTTAGATTTATATCCCAGATACATTTCAAAATTGTTTAAAATACTCCAGCAATCCTAACAATTGATAGGTTGGTCATAATAAACATCTTTCTTTTCTTCCAGGGAGGGCAAGAACCATTTCTACAGCAGCTGGCAATCAACCTGTGTCAGATCATAGCAACCGAGAAGGATCTGGTCAACGAGTACCACGGCAGCCAAGTGCCAGCAGGCTGCCGAAGACTGGGTGTCCTGTGAAAAATCCATAGATACTTAGAAAATGGCTAAACATTATTCTCATGTTCCAGGAAAGCCAATGACTAGAATGCTATGTAAATTTCTAACTATTAAATAACATAATGAACTTGTTCAAATTAATTTGTTGTTCAGTTTAAATATCAGGCAGTACAGAATATGTTGTTTCTGTATTTCTTGTATTACTGTTTATGATTACATGTAGCTTTGTTACCTGTTGATTTCTATTGGGGAACTTTTCTTTTTTGAAATTAAGTTATACAAATCTTTTAACTTGTCTCCTATGGAATCCATGTGCTTATTCACATAAATTTTGACAGTGCAGGTAATCCTTGACTTGCAACCACAATTAAGCCCATAATTTCTGTTGCTAAGCAAAACATTTGTTAAGTGAAGTTTGCCTTCTTCATAAATGAACAAATGAAAATCTTTCTTTCTGCAGTCAAGCCTATGGCTCTGTGATTCTCCGATGGTCTTTCATGAAAATGCTAATCAGATCTGATCTTGCATGATCTTGTTTTTCCAAGACCAGCCAAAGCTGGGTGGATACTGCTACTCAACTTCGTTTTAAAACATGCATGGCAGCCAACCCTAAATCCTGAATTCTATGCAAATGTTTTTGGGAATAAATTCAGTAAGAATTAGGGTTATTTCAGCTAGCTACTGCATTCCTGAAACAAATTTATTAACAAAGAACAAAGATGCAAATGATATTCCAAGTTGATTTAGCCTCTTAAATATGCTTAAGGATCATTTTTGAAGCACTAATTAGAGAGAAAATAATTTTGTAGTTAAAGTATTCTTCAAGAAATGTAGTGATTGCAGGTTCAGAACAAAATATGACTGGCAATGAGTTTATGCTATCCTTAATATAGACCTGCATGAATTCAAACTGCATTTGCTGAGGAACAACAGCAGGAGTGTCCTATACTGTACATGTTTATCATAATTGTATAACTGGTGTGATTTCTCTAGTATTATGTCTGTCCCTCACATAGCTCACCAACTATTAGTTTTCCATTTTTGATCTAAGTGTGCAGTTCTTACGTAATTTTTCTATTCCACGAAAAATCTTTCCCTTCAGTCCTTGCCTCTAATGTTTAATGTGACCAGGGAAAGTTTAAGTTTGGCTACATTATGATAGGCATTTGGAGAACTAAGATGATTATGAAGGTTAGATAAAAACAGAGCAAGGAGTTAAAAAAAAAGGATTGCAGAAAAAAGTATAAGAGATAGTGTAACAAAACAAATCAATTTGTGGCATATTTTGAACTATTGCCTACATTCCTCACCATCATCTGTGGGAAGAACTGCTTCCCTGTATTTTTCAGTAATGTGGAACCCTATTTCTAATACAGGTAGTCCTTGACTTATGATATTAATGGAGCCTGCCCATTCATGTCAGAAGTAGAGGACCACATTAAATGAAGCATCTAACAACATCCCTGTCCCTGTTTTCCCCAATGCATTTGTTAAATGAATGCACAGGTGATTAGGTAGAGCATGGGTGACTCAAGGATGGGAGAAACCAAAGGAGGCCTAGTGCAGGTGCAGGCACTTCCAGGAGGCCTCTCCCACCCTCTAAGGTATTCCATGCTTTGCCTCCTGCCCCTTGATTTCCCCAAAACCCTATGGACCTCCTCCATATCCCACCATTTGTTTACTTGCATTTTGATGAGCTCAGAAAGTCAGAGTAGAGAAGGCTGCTCTCTCACCGGGCCACGTGGCACAATCAAAAATATGAAATTAGGTCACTTTTGCTTCCATGCCGCCAGCTCTAGCTTTACACTAGTCTTACACAGGTGGCGCTAAGAAATCATAGTGATTTAGGCTGATTGGAGAGGAACCAGAATAGGCATGATTTATTCATAGCACTGCCAGTGCTACCTTTACGCTAGTCTTATGGTGGTAGAGCAAAGAAGAAATCTTATCTCTTGGTTCCATGGCAATTCTTTTCTCCCAGCCAGGGTAAATCACTACCGATTTATACTGGCTGGCGGGAAAGGATTGCCAAGGAAATGAGAGAGATCAGATTTCTTCTTGATTATGCCACGTGGCCCAGCAAAGGAGCAGCCTTCTCTACGTAAGATGGTTGGTAAGTACTCACTTACTCTCTACATAAGTAATTAGGTAAGTAGGTAGGTAAGTGACGGGGAAGTGGGGGGGGGGACACGAATGCATAGAACTCAGTATCTTGGCAAAGCAGACCAACATACTGGATTCTAGGGGCGTCTGAGGACCTGGCCAGGCAAAATGGGAGGGAAATTGGGTGGGTGGGTGTGCTGCAGTGTCTCTGCAGTCAGTCATAAGGGCAAATGATAAATGATCATGGGGGTGCTGCAGAATTTGTAACTTTGAAACATTTGTATTTAGCTTTTGGGGTATGCATTGTAACTTCAAGCATTTGTTGAATGGCCTGTCATACCTCAAGGATTACCTGTATCTTGAACCATCTTGTTTCCCCAGCAGCTTCAGCTGTATTTTATCTGCTGCTCTGACCTCTCCCCTGCATTTCCTCTGTAACCTTTCACCTGAATTTAAAGTAGTATCTGTTGGCACATTAAATCTGGGAGGCAGTTCCTTACCGCAATTGTTCCCTCTTGGACTACTATTTTGTAAGTTTATGTTATACACTTAAAGTAATAAAATGAACTATTTTTTTTACTTTGAATGCCTCTTTACACTAGCTGACAGCGGTACTAAATCAGTGTTCTTTGTCTGGAGATATAAGCATTTTAAATAAAAATAACTCTTTGCTCATAGAAATAACATAAATAATTTGATGTTAGACTTTTACATGCATACAGGGCAGAATTTCAGTTCACTTTGTGGCAGCCTTAGATATTATTTTGGTGCCCAGAATTTTGTTTGTCATTTTATCAACATAAATGATTATCAACTAAAGTTGAAGGTAATTGTTTGAGAAATGTACAACTTGCTTATTTAATTATGACAGAATAGATCAGTGGTTCCCAAAGTGGGTGGTACAACCCCCTGGGGGGGGATGATGTAGGGGGGTGCTAAGAGGCAGGGGGGGTGCTAAGAGGCAACGGGGGCAGCAGGGGGGCGCTAAGAGGCAAGGGAGGTGGTAGAGAAGTGCTGGAGGTGGCCCCCCGCAGGGCGCAATTCTGCCTGGGGCTCTGTTGATCATGTAGGTAGGACAAATTATGGGCAGTTCGGAGAACCGATAAAATGCACCACTGACTGGGTCCGCCCTCACCTCCCGACCCTCCCACTCTTCGTATCTCACCTGCTTAGAGGCACAGGTGCTGCTGCTGCTGCTGCTCCCTGGTTCCCTAGCTTATCTCAACCACACAACCCACCAGATCTCTGCTGGTGAGTCTTCCTTTGCTTCTATTCTAGCTACCTCCCCCACGCCCCAGCCAAGGTATCTTCTTTTCCCAAGCTATTTCCTTCTGTCTAGGCTCTCCCTTGCAGAGCTGAGCCTAGCATTCAGTTTAAAATACAGGGGAGGGGAGGGGGGCAACAGAGTAGCCAGGAGGAGAGAAAATGTTTTTTTTCTTTTTTGCCAAGCTATTTCTTTTTTCAGAAGGAGGGGAGGAGGGAGGAAGGAAGGCAGAGGGGGAGGGAGAGAAAGAGAAAGAGAGAGGGAGGAACTCAGAGAGAGAGAGGAAGAAAAGGAGGAAGGAAGTGAGAGGAAAAGAGGAAAGAAATGAGAGAAGGGAGGAGGGAGAAAGAAAGTGAGAAGGAGAAAGATGGAGAGAGAGGAGAGTAAGGAGAGTGAGAAGGAGATAGGAAGAGAAAGGGGGAAGGAGGGAGGAAGAGAAAGAGAGGAAGAGAAGAAAGGAGAAAGAGGGAGAGAGAAGGGGAAGAGAAGAAGAGGNCAGTCAATGATTTTGTGCAAGTATGGGATGGAAAACAATGATGGTAAAGGAGGGAGAGCTCCTCCGCTCCTCTCCCTTCCTATAAGTCCAGAGAAGAGCCACAAAGGGCCAAGAATCCAGAGTCGGTGATGGATGGGATAGCTGCAGGTGGAGGGGGGACATGGGCACCAGATTAAGACAGGAGGCAAGTTCGTAGCCTCGTCCCCCCTCCAATTCTCGTTGTCAGTCCAGAAGGAGAAAACAGGGCCAGCTGGGGCGGATGAAATGGCAGTTGCGGCGGCCGGGGTGGGTGGAAAAGCGACTGGCTCTCTCGAGGCAGCAAGTCCAGTCGCGGCGGCCAAAGTAGATGGAAAAGCAGTGGGGACGGCGACCCGTTCCTCCCCATACAGCAGACTCAGCCACAGCTCGGCCATAGTAGCCGGGGCGGTGGAATGGCGGTGGAATGGCAGGTGCGGTGGCCAGAGCAGATGAAATAGTGGCATAGTCAACAAGCCAGTATCCAAAAGAAAAAGCTGGGAGTTCAGCAGCCGGTCCGTATCGATGATAGCAGGGAGGCAGAGAAAGGCCGCATTGGAAAGGAAAGAAAAGGTGGGGGGGAGCGCTTGGGTTGGCAACGGCGATGGCAAGGGAACCTATCACCCAGACCTACAGCACCCCGACATCAAGCTCCCCCCACCTCCTGAGGCGGCAGTATAGTTTGGGGTGCCTCGCGGAGCATCCGTGGGGGGGGGGGTCACCTGAGGGCCGTTCGGCATCATTTGAAGTCGTCCAAGCTGTTCTCAGCAGTTCGGGCAGCGTTTCCCAGCTGGAGCCGTTTCTCAGTGTTTCCCAGCGTCAGGCAGCGTTTCCCAGCTGGAGCCGTTTCCCAGTGTTTCTCAGTGTTCTCAGCGTTCAATGATGGTAACAGAAGCTGTTACAACAGAAGTAAGTTGTAAAGGTACAATGTCCTCTACTCCCTAGAGCAGTGATGGCTAACTTTTTTCTAAAGATGTGTCAAAACTGTGTGTGTGCCCACCCATCTGGGCATGTGCGAGCAACCCCCCTCCCCACTGTGCATGCACGAACGACCCGCATGGGGGGGATTTTTGCCTTCCCCAGGCTCCAGAGGCTTTCCTGAAGCCTGGGGAGGGCAAAAATGGCCTCCCCCGGCCCTCTGGAAGGCTGAAAATCAGCTGGCCAGCATGTGCATGCGAGCTACCGAGGACTGCCAGGCTGGCGAATATGGCTTTGTGTGCCACCTGTGGCACATGTGCTATAGGTTCGTCGTTACGGCCCTAGAGCATATGAGTTGTATCTTGTATGGTACTCACAGAAGTGAACAACTAGTATGCTCTGGCTAATATGCCTTACTCTGTTACTTAACACAAAGTTTATGATAATCTGTTCCACAGATAGTTTTGGAATCAGGATTGGCAGGAATGCAAAATAAATGCTCTTGGGCAAATGCAGTTTAAGCAAGAAGCCCTTACTTCCATTGTTCCTGCTTCAATAATAGTGGAAGCACAATTAATTGCACTTCCAACATGGCCTGAGTTAGAAGTCATTCATCTTGACATGTTAACATCTGTATGGGCCAATCAATCAAGGAATAAATCACGAAACCAAGAAAGGAGTGATATGAATAAGTTATATGAGTTAGATATGAACCCCATTTTGAAATAAGTTCAGATCTTTGTGAACAGAGGTGCAAAATTTGAAGTTTCCAGGAGCTTCTGTTGTCTAAAAATAATTCCTGGTGCTGTAGCTTTAAATGTATGAAGGTCATTGTATCTCTGTCAGGGTTCAGGGTTGACAATCTCTATGTTTTTCATTGTGATGGTGTCAACCCTTTGAAGTAGTCCAAGGAAATAGAATTCACACCGGAGCTATTTCACTTGGGAATTATAAACATGAAATATAACACAAGGGTTATCTTTTTAACTATACATATTATCATGGCAGCAAGAATGATCTTTGCTCAAAATTGGAAAAACAAGGAAACTCCACATGAAGGGGAAATAATTAGGAAAATTTTGATCTGCGCTGAAATGGACAAATTGACGTGGGAATTGAAGAATAAAGTTGAATCTGAATATTATAAGATCTGGGATAAATTTTATCGATGGTTGGAATATAAAAGGGAAAGCCCCAAATAGCATGAGTCAAGATTCATAGAATGGAGACTAGAATTATGTATGAAATGATAAATGCAAGAATGTACAAGATAAACACAAACTAACACAGCTGGAAATGGGATACTTTTTTTCTTTTTGTAAATACAGTATGGATCAAATGTTAAAAAAACAGGGTGACTACAATGTATAACCGAATATCTTAGCATGTATGGTATAGATTCTACTAGGATGGTCTGCACTGTGACTAACATTTTAATTTATTTTTAATAAAAAATTTTTTAATAATAATAAAAAGGAAACTATCCCCCGTTCTTTTGGGCTGACATACGATCCCCATTGAACAACCACTCATTTAGAGACCATTTGAACTTATAGTAGCACTCAGTGAGTGGAAGTTATGAATGGTCCACATACTTACAACTAGTGCAATGTCCTCACACTGATCCAATTAGCAGTAAACAAGGACTAGCTGTAGCTCTTATCTGACCATTGCCCTGACCTGACTGTAGATGTTCCTTTTTTCTCCTAAAATTATTTTCAAATGCCATTACAGATAATAAGACTTTTGATATGTGGGGCTTTTTTGCCATTGGTTTATTTTTAAAAAAATGATTTTTAACATATGGTGTATCTTTTAAGCCATAACTTGAAACTGAATTGGCAGCATATAAACATAGAAGATAAATATTCCATCCTTATGATATATTTAATTCAGAGATATTTATTCTGAGATAAGTATGTATGGTATATAGGATGACAGTTAAAAGTATTGGAATACAAAAAACATGTTTCACATCAATCAGAAGATATAGTCTTGCATTTGGGAATCCCCAATTTATTGCTACCTGAAGTGAAGAATTATTCAAAACAAATATGTGTATGTAAGAGTATATAAATTTGACCCCAATTCTGGTTTGCACCTCTCAGAATAATAGAATAACAGAGTTGGAAGGGACCTTGGAGGTCTTCTAGTCCAACCCCCTGATCAGGCAGGAAACCCTATACCATTTTAGACAAATAGTTGTCCAATCGCTTCTTAAAAACTCCAGTGTTGCAATATCCACAACTTCTGGAGGCAAGTTATGCCACTGATTAATTGTTCTAACAGTCAGGAAATTTATCTTTAGTTCTAGGTTGCTTCTCGATTAGTTTCTATCTATTCCTTCTTTTCCTACCTTCAGGTTTTTGGAGAATAGCTTGGCTCCCTCTTTTTTTTATTGCAAACCTGAGATATTGGATCACTGCTATCATGTCACTTCTAGTCCTTCCTTTCATTAAACTAGACATACCCAATTCCAGCAACTATTCTTTATATGTTTTAGCCTCCAGTTCCCTAATCATCTTTGTTTCTCTTTTCTGCACTCTTTCTAGAGTCTCAACATTTTTTTTAATATTGTTAAAATATATTGTGGCGACCAAAACTGGATGCAGTATCCAAGTGTCATCTTACCAAAGTATTATAAAGCGGGTTTAACACTTCACATGATCTTACTCTATCCTTCTGTTAATGCAACCTAGGACTGTTAATGCATCATAGGACTGCATTGACTTTTTGGGCAGTTGCAGCACACTGCTGCTCATATTTAAGTGATTGTCCACTAGAACCCAAGATCCCTCTCACAGTTACTACTATTGAGCCAGGTACCACCTATAGCGGGGGTGTCAAACTCATTGCCCATGGGCCAGATGCATCATGTGCTGGCCACGCCCACCTCGTTTTAGCAAAGGGGGAGAGTTGCAATATGTCATGTAATGACAACATGTTGTTGCGAGTTTGACACCCCTCACCTATCCTATACCTGTGCATTTGGTTTTACTTGCCTAAATGTAGTCCTTAGGATGAAAAAAATTAAAGCTTTAAAAAATCTTCATCCAGATGACAACCATTAACTCTGACTAACACAGGTAGGTCCCATAAAATATGGGATGAAGCAATTACTTTACATACCAAATTACCAATTTTCCATTGATGATTCACTGCAGCCCCAGATGGTATTTTCCAAATATATTGAATTGTAACAAAAACATATGTAGTGTACCAAGTTGTTTATACCTAATATCCAGAAGGAATATCAGTTTCCAGTCCTGCTATATGTACTCACACATCACCAATAGTGCTTTGTTTATCAGCATTCATATTTAGAAGAGAAACAAGAGGAACCACCATTTTTATAAACTGCAATGGTTGTCGGTGTGTGGATGCATTAGGATATTACTAATAGCTAAGAGCTAACTATTTATTTATTTATTACTTAAAAGTATCTGTGTAGCTTTATTCTTCAATTTCTTCACTGCAAGATATCCATAAGTTCTCTTCCCACTCCCCCCACCCCCATCCCCAAATGACTGATGTGTTTGATCTTCATTTTGTCTAAGGAAATCAATGTCTTTATCAATAGATGAATGTATTGGATTTCCTTCTCCAAGGACAGTCTTCTTTAAACAAGTTGGTATATTTTAGTTAGTATCTTGTAACCATGTCATTTTAATTAAAACTATTCCAAAGGACAATTCATGTTAAAGGAACTGAGGTGGGGTGGGTTCCGGCAGGTACTATTTTGGGTTCACTCATGTGCCTGCTGTGTGCACACGCTTGATGTGCGCTGTGTGCGCATGCGCAGTGCAATTAAAATTGTTCTTGAGCAGAACTGAAAAACAAGATGGCGGCGCCAATGGCACCTCCCAGGGAACTAGTTCAGGGGTGTGGCAGGCTTGGGTCGCTGCTGGTTCCAGCGACCCAGGCTGCCAAAGTACTACTGGTTCAATTGAACCGGTCTGAACCGGTAGGACCCACCATTGAACTGAGGACCCAGATTGTTGAGGGCAATATGCTCACTCTGTAAACCACTTTAGAGGACTGTAAAAGCACTATGAAGCGGTATATAAGTCTAAGTGCCAGTGCTATTGCTAAAGCCATGTGAGAAGTTTCAGTGAAACATACCCTTGAGCAGTTTAATTTAAGAAAAAATTAAGGTGGCTTTTGTGAATGGGGTGGATCTTTCTTTTGATGGAATTAAATAAATTTTATAGGATCTTGCAACAGAACAGAGTTTTGTTTAGTAATTATAGTGGGGAATGATCGAAGATTGCACATGATTTGCAAATTTTTAGAGACAAGTCATAAAGATGGAAGAGAGGAAAGAAACTTTTACTGTGTTATTTATTGCTGAATTCTGATTGGGCAGTTTACCTTAATGGGAAATGCCCCATTTCTTTACTGTGGTAAGTTAAATTAAAACAAATTCTGCACCAGCAAAATCCAGCCTGATATAGGCAAACTTGCTGCCACCTCCGATCTGCTTGATAAATTAGAAAGAAGGTAATGTCAGATTAGATTAAAAAGAAGAAAAATAGTAACTGATAAGGATATTTACTTTTTCAACACGTCAAAAACGCCAAGGGAAAAGTGTTAAATTTCTAAACAGAAGATCATGATGTCACGTGTCCTTGAATCGTCTATCTATCTATTTTTGTTGTAGCAAAGAGCAAGAACAGGACAGTAGTTTTCAGTCATAGCTGAGGAAATATCTTGTGCAATTTGTAATCCTTGTCAGTCAAACATTTTTATATTATTATCCAGTTTTGGGCATGCAATAGGCTCTGCTGAGCTTATAGGATGGAAGGCTACATTTTCAAACCTCTTTTAAAGTCTTCAGAGTCTTCACAACCTGGAAGCACCACCTCCTGCTTCTTATTTCCTGTTGCTACCACTTGGCTTCAGATAAAAGGTTTCTGAAAAGGATAGGGTTGTCACAACTCATTCCACTTTTCTGGCGAGATAAAAACCAAAAAGTGAAATAATTCCTACAGTATCATGTCCTGGGTCATACAGCATTAAAGTTAGGGATGGGCTTCAAAAATGTCAGCAACAGGTTTTCTGCCCGGCCTCTGGGCGGGCTTTGCATAGGCATGGCCTAGTCAGCCTCCAGCACCACAGTGGGATGGGGTGTTTTTGCCCTCCCCAGGCTTTGGAGGCTTTCCTTGAGCCTCTGGGAGGGTGAAAACTGCCTCCCCCAGGCTCCGAAGGCCCTCTGGAGGCTGGAAACGGGCCTGTTTCTGGCCTTCCAGAACTTCCAGGAGGCCCATTTCCCCCTCCTCGAGCCTTCTCATGGGCCCTGCTCTTACCTTGCATCCAAAACAGGCCACGCGGAGACTCCTGGGAGGGGCAGGATAGGCTGGGCAAGCCAGGGATGGGATTTGGAGGTTCTCGGAACCGGCCATAATGTAAGCGATGGGTTGTCACGAATCCAGGCGAACCTGTAGCAGCCCACCCCTGATTAAAGTATGTGTTCTTGTTTCTCATACAAGAAATAAAGGAAATCAAACTTTTTAAAACAAAGAATAAATGATGAAAATAACATGCAAACCTTTTAATATCCAAAACTCCAAACATTCAATATTGAAGATTCTTTATGAAATTATTTTGGTTATGGGAAAGGGGGAGTTTGATTTAAAAAAGAAAATTTACAAAAGAAAATGTAATGCTCTTGGTAAACGATGTGATGCTGCTGGTTTGCTATAAGTAAGCATTTTACCAGAATCTAAAGAGAGACGTTGGGGAAGATTTCCAATTTATTATTAGGGATCAGAAAATAGGCTACCACACATACATACTCATGTATCAGCCCATCTGTGGACAACTTGACCCTCAAATGTTTCATATCTTTTCATTTTCACAACTGATGTATCTGCAGGTGGCAGATACATTATTATATATGGGATATACATGTATTTTTAAAATGTAGTACTGTAAATATTTGCGGATAAGTTAAACCCAATTTTTGGGGTTTACCTTTTGGGAACTAAAATTCTTAGCTTCTCTGTAAAAAGAACTGTAAAGCACTCTAGACTTGAAAAAAATCAAAAGGCTGAGAAGATAAATAAATTCCTAAGGGGTACAAAAAAATAATAAAAAAAAAAAACAGGAGAAACAATCACAGTAGCACAGAAATTAAACCTAGCACACTTTCCTGGCTAGACTGTTACTATGAGAGTAGCAATTTTGTGTGTGAATGAACTAGAGATGTAGTATCTTAAGGATAAGCCTAAAGCACATAAATAAAATTGCAGCATAATTTCTGAGGTTGAGTGGAAGCCTTTGGCTTGTATTCAGCAGCTATTTAATTCAGTCAAAGGTTACATCTGGATCACAGAAGGTATAATAAAAGGAACTGTCTTTAACCTGAAAGCAGCGATGTTGTCCATGAGTCTGTAGCATTAGTGGTTGCATCATCAGAGCAGTTTGGGGGTGTGGGGGAATGGACAACTGATGATTGAAGCAGTGACTTATTTGAAAGACATATAATGAGCCACTGTGAAATCTTGAGACTTTCAAATAAATCAAGATAGCAAATCAATCGGCTGTATTGGCATTAGGGAATTACTTGGTAAGATTAAAATAAGGAGCAAAAAACATGGAAGCAAAGCATGGGAGGTAGTTCAGGCAATCGGGATCTTACAATTTATTTTGTACAATGACAATAAAGACTATACTAAAAAAAGACATACCCATACTCTTTGAGTTACTGGCAGAAAAACTGCTGATAGGAAAAGTGTAAGATAATAATAAGGAATGCATACATGAGAGGAAAAATTTGAGGAGCATATGACAAAGGAAGATGAAGAGGAGGAGGAAGAACGTTTCAAATATGTTTCAAACAGAATCTGAATTGAGGCAGGGCCACTAGAGGATAAAGGTGTGAAAGGACAAAAAGAGGATGTGGAAATTGCAAAGACAGATACCTGTCAGCACTCCTCCATTGAATAATTAGGAAACAAAACCACAAGACTCCATTGATAGTAATCAAGTGTACTTTTACTAATTATGAATGATTAGAAGCGTAGCAAAGCGAANTTCCACCACTGGGTGGGGGGCACTGAGGATCAGTTTGTAGCACCAAGGGGAGGGTGGACTGAAAAAGTTTGGGAACCACTGGTATAGATAGTCCTCAACTTATAACCATTTGTTTAGTGCATTCAATGTTACAACAGCACTGAAGATGACTTAGTTTTCATAGGTCCGTCCCTTGGAGCATCCCCATGGTCACATCATCAAAATTTAGATACTTGGCAACAACTGGCATATATTCATGACAGTGGCAGAGTCTTGGGGTCATGTGATCATCATTTGTAATATTCCCAATCCGTGACCCGACAAAAGGGCGAACAACAAAACCGCACCGACTAAACCGCGACATCATCAACGCGGCGACAACGCGGCGACAACAGCGCGGAGACAGAAGGGCGATTCAGTTGACAGAGGGGCGATTTAAGTTAAGGTAAGGGTTAGGGTTAGGATTAGGGTTAGGTTTAGGGTTAGGTTTAGGGTTAGGTTTAGTTTTACAGCGCGCTTCTGTCGCCGCGCTGTTGTCGGCGCGATTCAGCACTCATTCGTCAGAGCGCTTTAGAACACGCGGTTTTGTCACCGCAGTTTAGTTGGGCGCAGTTTTGTCGTTCGCCCTTTTGTCGGTGAACCTTCCCAATCGGCTTCTAGCAAACAAAGTCAATGTGGGAAGCCAGATTCACTAAACAACTGCAATGATTTGCTTAACTGTGGCAAAAATAAAATGGTGCATAACTCACTTAACAACTGTCTTGCTTAGAAACAGAATTTTTGGTGTCAATTGTGGCCATAAATTGAGGACTATCTGTAGTTTCTAAATACATAGTTGAGAGGCTGATGGCAGTATTACTGTTATGGTTATTATTTTTTCCTCCTTCAAGGTAGACATAAATAATAATTTATTGTTCCTGCAGTAGGTGGTTATCCACAAATCTTGTGGTGGAACATACAGAAAATACAATATTAAGATGATCAGCATTAGAAGAGGAAATACTAGAGTTTAATTTAATTTGGATGTTTTATAAACTGATTTAGGAAGATTTGACTTTAAAGGATGGCATGTTGTTTCAAAAATAAAATATTAAGCACATTAAATAAAAGGAAGAACATTATAATTTTGTATATATATGCTTATATGAATGCCAAAACTATACTAAATCCCAAATACTAAACATGGGAAATTTGTTTATTTTTCAGTTCAAGCCACTTTTGTGAAAGAGGAAGGTTTTTTTCCAGATTAAATACTACCTCTTGGTGCTCTTTGTTTTACAGGGCAATACAGGAAAATACAGACTTAATATTAGAACTTGGATGTGGAAGAGGAGACGGACCGAAAAAACCCCTACCATTCATGGAGAGAAATGTTTAGAGTGATTCTAGTCAGGACAAAATATGATTTTGATTAAAGGTGGCCAGGAATTTAGGAACCCCCAGAACTGAAGGTTGATGCCACAAAAAATTACAAAACCCTAGTTAGATCAGCTTGTGTACTATGAATATACTATTGGCTGTCATGATAAGAACAGGGAGGGACTTACCTGAGCTCTGTGTACCCTTGGTGTATCTTTTAAAAAGCTGGGGAGGCAGTTAGTTTGAAACTTAGTTGGGCTGTTCGACCAAACTGGAAAATGTTTCGGCTTTTCAAACACACTAAGCAGCTGTGCTGCTTTCAGATGAAACGAGCATTGCAGAAACCACTTTGGCCTCTCACTTCTTCATCACTGGTGAAGCAGAACAGGTAAGTGAAGAAAAAATAGCACTAAAAATGTTGACATCTTCAGGCTCTGTAATCAGAGTTTTACTTTTACACAAACTTTTCCAGCGGTAATCTATTAGAAAATTTGATAAGAAAATTCTGCTTTAATCCTAATGAGTATTAGAAAAATAGATTAATAAAAGTCAGGGTGTTTTAAAATATTAGGATCACCAGCTACAAATCTGCAAATGAAAAAAAAATACTTTTGAAACTCTTTTCTCTATGAAAAGCATGCACAAGTGTTTTCAACTTTCATCTTCTATCTTGTCTTTAATTTCAATATAACTGGATATTTCTTACAATCTCTTCTCTTTGTGAAAGATCATTTGTGAATGTTTACATCTGAATCCTATAAGAACAATGGGTTAAATTTTCTAAAGGAACCCAGAGAATCTGATCCATGAGAATGCACGTGAGAAAAACCTTTTTCCAAATTATGCAGATTTTGAATAGTAAGCCCTTTAATTAATTGGTAATGCAGAAGGAGTTCGGGCCAATATGAACATTGATGGCAAAAAGGGCCACAATTAGCTCAGGCATCTTATAATTTATAAAACAAATATGAGAAAGTCTGTGGTTATCTATTTCCCAGTTTTCACAGCAAGCATAGTTTCTATTCCAGTTCATTAAACGTATATTTTTACTTTCTTCCTACTTAACAAATATTTTCACTGTGTTGTACTTTCCATTTTTCAGATCTCAGTTAGATAGTTCCAACGGTCTCACATATTTTCCATGAATACACAATGAAATAATAAGCCCAAAAGTCAACTGTCAATGCAAAATTCAAAGCTGGGACACTTATTAGTATACTGATGTAGACTTAGTTGCTTGTAGCCTGATAAACTATTCCTTTAAATAAGAAAATACTCTTTATTTACTTTGATATTCCACCTTTATTTTAATAAAAGAGCTAATTTTATATTTATAATAATCTAATCCAAATTAAAATTAGCAATACAGGGAGTCCTTCACTTACAACAGTTCATTTAGTGATCATTTAAAGTTACAACAGCACTGAAAAAAGTGACATGACCATTTTTCACAACTACAACATTTGAAACATCTCCATGATCATCTGATCAAAATTGAGATACTTGGATACTGGTTCATACTATGAGGAAGCCAGATTCATTTAACAATCAGGTCACTAACTTCACAACTGCAGTGATTCACATAACAACTGTGGCAAGAAAGGTCGTAAAATAGGACAAAACTCACTTAACAAATATCTCACTTAGCAAGAGAAATTTTGGTTTCAATTGTGGTTGTAAGTTGAGGACTACCTGTATCTCTATGACAATAGGAAGAAAAACTCAAATAAAAGCAAGGAGACTGAATTTTTAGAATACGCTTTTTGTAGGGTCTTTAAGGAGCAATAACTTAAGTAATATATGCACATACCCTTTGGACCTGACCTCTAATGCTGTCCAGCAGTGTTGATCTTGTGCAAATGTAACCAAAGGTCTTTGTATTAAACATTAACCTCTTTGATAACAATATGTTATGGTTAGGATGAGCAAGTATCATTTAGGCTATTGGAATGCATCTTTTTTTAAGATGCTGTAGATCTAAACACAGTAAAAGTCTTGATTCCACAGTTCACCCAAATGCTAAAAGTGCAAAGAAAACTTAGATACTATTCAAATAATATATCTCAAGTCTTTATCCATATTTAAAATAAATGTTTCTATTTTGCTCTTCATACGAACTTGCAAAAAACTAAAATCTATAAAGCCAAATTTATAAAAGTATTGCTACAACAATACAATCAGTGACAATATAACAAAACAGAAATTATAGAAATCATTCTCACCAGTTCCCAAAGCCTTTTTTAAAAGGATGAAAATATAACGCTAGAAAATAAAAAGAGGCTATTTCAAGAAGAGTACCATAGTGAATACAAAATATTTGGTTTTTGGCAGAGACTTACCTAATTTCTTTCAGTGACAGAAAAATTGAAATAATTTTTCAATAAAAATTGAAAAATTGGAACTCAAAATTTAGAAGCAAATCCTCACTACCATAAATAGGACTTTTTTTATTTATTTGTTTATACAAATCACATTTGTTTATACAGATCTCAAAGAACTGGGGATGTCTGTAATACATCTATCATTGAATGAGCCCCCTCTAGCACTAGGAATGTCCACATTCATTTAAAAAGCATTCATTCATTTCATTTCATTTCATTTATTGAGCTTGTATGCCGCCCACTCCCGAAGGACTCC